ATTATACATAATTATATGTGAGCAATTCTTTTAAGTTTCTCCAAACTTGTGTTTAAAAAAAAAAGAAACAATACGAAAATTATCTTTCTAAATATCTTTTATGTTTTCTCATTAGTGTTATTTGTCATACGAATTACTGTATAAAAAAAGAATCAATGCATAATTATATAAAAAGGAGAAGGATGAATTTGTATTTGGTATATAATTATATCCCAAAAAAATCATAAAAATGAAAAATTCAAAAGCCTATCATCGATCACTGCTCGCCAATCATTCGGCGAGCAGACTCTCACACAATATGTAATAACAATTATAAAATATATACATATACGTACACAATTAAGTATATTCAAGCATAAAATCAGTAGTTTATTTGCAATATTGTTACAAATATCGGTGCTGTATGGGTATTATATTAGATTCTATAATGTTTATTTTATTTATTATATTTTTTTTATTAAAATATTACTGATATAAGACTAACTCGTTTTATTTATATCATAAACTCTCAAATTTAATCCTCCAAAGATCACTAATTGTAATGTAAAAGATAAAGATCGACATTGATTTTGAAATTCGCAACAAATTGTGATCAAGTATGATTGCTTATCGATTGGGTCAATTTAAATTTGAAATTATTCTGACTATCGTTTCCGTGAATATCGTTATATGGCAATATTCAAGGAAATATGCTGGGTTCACACTGCATCCGATTTTCATTGTACGAGGCTTTGCATCCAATCAGAAAACAGGATTCCGATAATACAAAGCAAAATTCATCGGAATCCTGTTTTCTGATTGGTTGCAGAGCGTCGTACGACGAAAATCGGATGCAGTGTGAATCCAGCATAAGGTTGCAGCTAAATCCCGGACATGGCCCCTCTCAGGCTTCTCTCTGCTTTCTTACTCCATGACAATGCACGTAGGACGCATGCGCATCGAGGTGACGCGCACTCGGCGCACTGAGCGCGATTCCGGACTGTCTCGGGAGTTCGGTGGCCTCGTCAATGTTCGGAGTGTTTTCGGGCAGTTTCGCAAGGCGCGTCGTCGGACGACGGTAAGTACAGTCTGTCGTCGATTGACGTCATCTGGTCTCGTCTTTTGCTTTGAAATCATCTGAAATATGAGCGCCGGTGACAGAAGCCGCGCTGTCGCGTTGTGTCGTCGTCGTTGCTGTGTCAGCACAAAGTGCACAATCGTGTGAGGAAGACGAACAAGAAGAAGGACGAAGAGAAGGCGGAGAGGAAACGGATAAACGTCGCAGCGCGGCGTCGCGAAAAGGTCAGCCCCTATCGAGCGTCTCGAGAGTATTCGAAAGGAGGCGATGTCGCCTCCCGCGGCCGATGACACGTCTAATATAATTCGCGAAAGGAGGAAAGAGAGACATCTCCACGCACGTCGCGTCTGTCCGTCGGTCCTTCCGTTCATCCATCGTCTTCCTATCGACCTCCCTTCCTCGAGCACGTCCTTGAACGACGACGCCGGGGTCCCTTCGCGCTCCTCTCCCCGTCCCGTCGCACTACAGTGTCTATTATTTATCTGCTGCCACACGGCATGGTATCAGCCGGTACCTCCTATCACTATCACTGAGATGCTGACACACTCCGATCTTAAGCTCTGTCTCTTTAACAACAGGAACTGATCGTGAAGAGATTGCGTAAACACGTATGTATATATATCCTATCTATCGAATTCAGCGCTGAACACAACGACGCGGCGGTCTCGTCGACGATGGAATTTTCTTGTACGAATAACAACCTCGTGCCTACGAATAATTTACGGATATTATTGTTTGAGAAATGAACTATGCAAACTTTCCGATTGTCATCGTCCCGCCTGTATTTTTGTTTCTTCTTCTTTTTTTTCCTTTTCATTGCGAAACCACAACTGACCTTCACACGCCTGACGGAGCAAGTTTTTATTATACGCGCGTGTTTTCCGATGATTTCTGCATCTTTTAAGAATCACCGTCTTTAAAATTTATGACTTACGAAAGTAAGTTGACACCGCAGCGGGGTACAAGTCGAACCAGCTGAGTACCAAGCGACGGCTGGAAAATCGCATGACAGCCTCCGAGATTGGATTTTCCCTATGATGAAACGCTCCTCGACGATGCGAGAGAGAACGGTCGACTCCTAGGAGAGCGTGAGACTTAGTCACGCGCCTTAAAGACCATTCGTTGACGTTCGCGATTACTAATGCAGCGGTACATTCCTCCACGAACGCACGCCGCTGTCCCACTTCACGTTCCTTCTTTCCTCTGTTTCGCCTTCCTCTCTCGGTTGTTCAACCCCGCCCGCTGTCAGTCCGTACTCGCATCTCTCGTTGCTCCGGAATGAACTGCTCCGGAATGAGCTGCTCCGATCCGCTAATTAACAAGGTTTCGAGTAAGGATGAATGAATCTCTTTGACGCAATCGAACGTTTTCTCGCTAATGTATAATGTTACAGTTATTATCGTAGTAATTAATGCGATAACATGGCTCCGTTGACGAAATCGTCGCGAATCTGCTTCGAAATAAGGACAGGGTTTTTACATCACTTTCGTGCGCATTTCCTATATAAAAGGAATGGTTTTGCTGAGATATTTAGAAATTTCGGTAGATATGGAGCTGAAAATAATTTTGTTGGACCATCAAAATAATTATGTAGGGCACTCAAGCATGGTGGATCGATATTGTAAAATTTTTTATATTTTAGCAATCAGTTTGAACGTCCTACATAATTATTTTGATAGTCCAACAAAATTATTTTCAGATCTGTATTTATCTAAATTTTTAGATACTTGAGCAAAACCGTTGATTTTAATGGACTTTACAATTATATGGAACGCTTAAACTGATTACTAGAATGTCAAAACTTTTACAGCATTGTTCATGCTTGAGTTTACTATAATTATTTTGATGGTCCAAAAAAATTATTTTTAGATCTGTGTCTAGTTAAACTTTTAGATACTTCAGCAAAATCATTCTTTCCGTGTAAGTTTAGACATTTAAGGCGATCACTGAATGTATGTGTATAATCTGGCTAAATAGGCTGGCTAATTTCTGGCGCTTACTGGCTTCCCTCTATTTTTTCAATAAAAAATCTCTTAAAATAAAAATAATCGATAATTTGTTCTCAAAGTTCGTTATCCCATCGAATAGAATGCATACATCGAAGAACTTGAGTGCATCGCACTGAGGGATTCGATCGGGTCGCTACGTCGCGTCGGATTAAACGAGAGTTTCATAGTCGATCGCTTCGCGCCTCGGAAAACTCGTGGAGCGAAGAATGTCGGTCACGTTGGTGATATTTTTGGAACGATCAGTGTTTTTATGATTCGTTGGAATTACGATGCGATCGCCGCCGCGGGTTTCCGACTTTCGATCACCTCGTTATCTCTACGATTGCGACAATAAACTTCAGTTGTATCTAATCTCGCATTGATAAATATTGGATGACCGCCGGACAATGATCATTTTAATGATTGATGTAATCCTCCTGCTTCTTTTATATGCAGCGTATTTACGATATATTTGCAGCGAGAAGTGCAATGTTTAGTAGTAAGCAAACGTATTCGCAGTGTTACATATACTTAACGCTTACTTTAGAGTAATTATAGTATATATAGTGCGTGTATAAAAAAATGATTTTACTAAAGTATTTAGAAATTTAGCTTGGTATAAATCTGGAAATAAAATTGGACCATTAAAATAATTATGTAGCAGGTTCAAGCATGACGATAATTCTACAAAAAGTTTAGACAGTCTAGCAATCAATTTGAGCTTCCTTACATAATAATTATTACATAATTATTTTTATGATCCAATAAATTTCATTTCAGATCTGTGTATGTCTTAGTTAAATTTTTAGATACTTTAGCAAAATTCTTCTTTCCGTATTTAATACTTCTAAATATGTATATTCATTCGATTCTTGGGCACATTGGGAAAGATTCATCTAATTGGGGAATGAATTAATTAGGTATCCGGGATTGCAGCGATGTTCAAGACGACCACCTGTAAGATGTTGGTCCAGGTGTCGGCTGTACTGCCAGATGACAGGCCAATAACTGCCATTAGTGTTGTGGAAGACTTAGACAAGTGTCCACCCAACTTCACAGTGGTACGCGCATTAATTCACTTTATTTATTATTGTTCTCGTCGCGATGGTTGAGAGATGATTGGTATATATCTCGTTAAGGTATCGAGAACTTACGATCAGGACACCGACGCTGATTTGTGGAGGGAGAGTGGACTGTTCATCAAGAAGAAGGGTAGATATATCTGCTTCTCGAAGACTGAGGGCCAGCCAAATTGTGTGGTCGAGGATATCATGGTGATTAATGAGCGAGATACTCCGCCAGAAGGATACAGCATGATCTCCTACACCGTGGATTCGAGTAAGCCTTTTTGTTCGACAGCAATGGCTGCCGTCTGCGGATAAAAAAATATGCAAATTTTTGTAAATGAATCGCGGTAAATGTTGCAGGGCAAAAAGCGTGGCGGAAAAAACAGGTGTGTTACAAAATTAGGAATAAGGACCTGTGTACGAAAGCAGTCACAGATATAATAATATGCAGCAGGACAACTCCAAACCACAAGGTTTACTCCAAACTGGCTCCTGTTGGATTTTTCGCTGCTGGGTATGTCAACTCTTTAAACTTTTAATTAGACCGGCTTTAAGTTGGCTTCATAAATTTTTTATCTGTATTTTTATAACAACTCAATAAAAAGTAAACGCAATAACAAATTGTCGTAATTTATTATACAAATATAATAAATACGAAACTTGTCTGTTAGAAATATACATGGAATATAAAAAGTTAATGCAATACTTTTATGTATGCGCGATGTATATAATATACATATATTATATCTTATATTCTTCTTTCAGTACTATAAATGGTGTTCATGTGTGCTACAAGACCGTAGATATCACAAATGCGAATTCGGATTCGCAGTCGTACGTTAATATAGAGTAAGTTTCACTATATCAAGCTAAGTATCGATTATGCTATAAATAGTATACGTATTTTATGATACTTCCAGCTTACTGCAAAGTCCTTCTCCAAATCCGTCGAATGGAATCTTTCACAGGCCAGCCCCCGAGAGGCCCCCGAAACCAAAGTTCTCACCAAAACCACCGGCCAATGGGATTTATCCGCAAGTCGGCAGCACCACTAATAAGGATGACGAACTCGGCGATCGAGATTACGAGGTTTTAAGTCCTAACGCGAGGATCAGGCCAACGAGGCCCGCTCCACAACCACCTATGTCCACAACATCGACCGTCACATCCACGCCCATTTACGGTACACTTCCGGGATCGTCCGATCTCGACGGGGTTCCGTTCGCGCTTAATCCTCGTCTTATTACTAATCATAATTCTGCCAATGTGAGTATAATAATTTGAAACTTAACAAAAATTAAAGTGCAATTAAGACATTTATTTTTATAACTTATATCTTTTTTTCTCGATAGAACAAACTTCCTGTTATCAAAGTATGGACACAGAAGGACTTAGATAGAGAGGTACGTGTATTTTTTTTCAATTTTAAAAATAACTGACAATTGTGACAAATAACTAATATGACGTTTTGTTGCAGTTCTTCTATGACTTTCGCGCGGAAAGAGAAACTTGAAAGATGACAGCTTGCCAAAACTAATTCGAGTTCTCGAGCGTTTTCCGATATAATTCGTATCCGATATAATGCTAGCCAACAAGCGTAAATGGAGTGCCTGAACGAATGATTTGTACTAACCCGCGAGAGAATGAAGCCTGCATGACGCTTAAAATGGGGATTGTGTAATGTTTAAGAAGAAATAAGATAAAAAAACTTATCGATGTACGCGTTTCTTCTTCCACGCCCCATATTTACATTTTGATACTGGTGATAACGTTGTCATATTTTTATAGACTTGCGTTATTTTTTGATAGAGAGTAGAGATTATATATGTAAAATATGTGTACACATAATGTATCATAATGCGAGATTTTCTGCGCATCGTAATACCGCATATCTACGCTTCTAAACACGCGAACAAACGCATAATATTGTTGAGACCAGCATCATATTCTCACCGCACATTTAGTAGTTTACGCGATAATTCAAATGCGTGGTGAGATTGCATGCCATAAAAAGTCATTTTGTTGTTCCTTTTGCCCCTTTTTGATATTTTTTTAACTAGAGATTTGAATGTTTATTATATAATTTTCTTTCAAAGTGCTGCTTTTCTTTCTTTACCTGCAATGAAGTATTATTATAAAATCTTTTTTTCTATATATATTTTATCATGTAATTCTGTTTGAAAGTATATATGGTTATGTATAGAACATACTAGAAAAAAAATCTAATTTTAATATTGACGGAACACAACGTTCACTCCTAATCTTCTACTCGAGTTCTCTGTTCTATTTATGAATTCATACATTATATAAATTTCCGTTCGATTGCACACGTGTACGTGAATGTAATTTAAGATAGAAACTTGTATGTTAAACAATAATTTAATAAAAGATTGATGGTTGAGAACTACCAATGCGTATTATTCATTAAAGCTAAGGTAATGAAAGATAATAAAGTTCTTTCGATAACGTTTTATAAATTAAAATATACCAAAAGTCGAGACGAGTTACATTTTTTTTACATATGTATCATATAAAGACTAATAAATAATTTCACAGCAGAAATAGTTAGATCAACATTTTATAAACAATCTTTCCGAGAAGGGATTAAATAAACTAATCACTGAAAGTGCAACTTCGAAATTTAGCGACTCATGTATCTTATAGCATATGAAAAATAACGTAATTTATGTGTATATAATATATGTTAATTACTCACACATTAGCATCGTAACATAACTAAAGAAACAAGGTTTTTTCTGTTCATTATTAATTCCCTGTTTCTCGGTCAATACTGTATAAAATTCCATTTGCACTTTAAAAGTGAGTCATTCGCTGTGTACGAATACAGTAACTAAAAAACGTTTTAATTTAATTGATCGTCAGCGAATTAAAAGATCAAAATCTTTTGTAGTTCGCCTTTATCGGCGAGTTATCGGCCGACACGGCGGAGCGAAAAATATTTTTGGCTGGCAAAAAATTAGCCAATCGTCAGACGAATGGTCCAGTCCAGTGCCTGACGTGTGTCGTATTGCCGGCTGCAGTCGTCTGTACTCCGTGCCTCTCCAGTACCGCCGTAGCCTTGATCCTGCTCTTGTATTTCACGTCCTTCGGCTTCAGCATGCTCTTGTGATTGCTCAGCAATCTTGAGGGTGTAAGGATCGACTTGTTGCTAAGGCCGGTCGCCTCCAGGAAGTGATCATATCCGCTGCTTCCGATTTCACCGTTGCCATTACTATTACCGTTGCCGATAGCAGGAACATTGTTGTTGTCTTTGGCAATGCTGTTTTCGTTTTGACCAGCGTTGTTGAATCCCACGTGACCAAGTCTCTCCGATCCGTCACCCTCAGGCCGATCGGGATCGTCCGACAGATCGCATTCATCTAGATTAAACTCCTCAAAGTTCTGTCGAATATCGAATTCCTGCAATGGAAGAAAAAAATCGTTTTTTTTTTTAAATAGAATTATATAGTTTTCTCAAAACATTTAATACATTTTCATAAGAAATCTTACATGTTCAAGTTCGGCGTGACGGTCCTTCGGACGATTTCTGTCCTTTGTCTGTTCCTCAGGATCGCCGATCTTGAACTCTTCGAAATGCCGAACGATGTTCGTCACTCTGGCCGCGCTCTTTCCTTGATCCTCCTTTTGTCTTACTTGGAAAGACGAGCGCACGTGGTTGAATCTATTCTTCCAGAATCCACCCTCTTTCGTTTCTCTCGCCGAGCTCCTGGCCGAATTTTTCACTTCGTCCATATTCAAATTCCTTGCTGCCTTTGACGACGAAGAAGATATCAGTCCCAGAATGCCTCTTTTTGTAGGATCCGCGCCTCCCAGGTCCTGCTGCCTTTTTTCATCAATCAGGAACGATGGACTAGGAATTTTCTTCAGGATTAGTGTGTTGTTGCGAAACTGTGGCTTCGGCGGCAACGCCGGTGGCGTTCTGGGCGGCGTCGGTGACGTCGTTATCTCCGGTAACGACTCTATATCTTCGTAATCCAGATTCTTGGCGATAGTTAATCCTCTTGCGGACATCTGCAAGCAGGTCTTCTCCTCGATTCTCTCCATTTTTAAAGGAGGACTACTCTGTTGGGATTTCGTTGAAATCTTTCTTGTGTCTTCCACATCGACTTTGGGCTCGATGATGACTAGTGGAATCGCCTTGGACTCCTTGGAACCATCGTCATCTGGATCCTTTTGGACGATCCTCATGCCAAACTCGTCTTCGGATGCATTCGCATCGTTCTCCGCGGTCTCTTCTTCTCTTGATGAATCCTTATTATCCGTGACGGACTCCTCGGAATTTTTTCTTTCTATCTCGGAACCTACCGACTCGATATCGGACAACCTGGCTGGCTGAAAACGTACGATTCTGCCACGATGTTTAAACCTGCGCGGTACCGAGAGCACCAAGTTTTCCTCCTCTTCCATATCCTGCAGCAGGATCTGATTCACGCATTCCAACACGGAGTTATGATTACTATTTGGCCGGTAGGTGCTGTGTCGGAATACATCGTCGTTTAGTCGATCTTCATCCGGATCGCTATACCAATTTCCACTGGTGTCCTCCACCGTCAATTCGGGCGTCTCGATCTTTACCTCGCTGCGAAAAAGAAATCGAAAGGACCGTTTTTAAGGAACAAAAGAATGTAACAGAAGAGAAAAATAAAATTAAATATCTAACGAAAATTTTGATGGAGAAAAGAATCACTTGTAACGTACATATTGTTATTATTGCTATAATCGTCTTTTGTCCTCAATTGCTCCGTCCGCTGAAGATTTCTCTCGTTCACCTCGTTGCAGGCGTTAATGTAAATCGGTTCTTCTGTCTCTCTCTCTTGAGTGCTTATCAGGGTGTTAGTTTGTTCCTCATCCTCTGACAAAAAGTTACAGTCCATCCCGTCGTCCTTGCTCTCCGTTCTCGCGATGCCCACCATTTCAATCACGTTGGGATTTTTGGATGACTTCTTCTGACCCTTTGTCCTTCTTTTCATCGACATCATCGTTGTTCCACCCTTTTCTGTTAGGTCCTCCTCGTCCTCATCCAGGATCATCGTCGTCTCGTTTTCGCTGTCAGTCACCGTCGTCGGCGTGCACCTGCTCGAGCATTTGTTCAAGGTTGAGCCAGGTGACACATCATCCGTACTCTCACCCTCGCAAAAGCCTTCCGTGCTGAGCAACGAAGGACTGCCCTCCGTCGTCGTCGTGACGATGGATGCGTCCGTATTCTCACTGCTGGTCAGACTCGCCTTTGAGATATCGCTACCAGCGAAACTATTCGTTTTCCTCACGCTGTTCCGGTCCAGTTCGTCCAGAATACTAGACGATGCCGGGTTTAGCCGTGTGATTATCTCGCACTTTAGACTTGCGATCTCTTTGCCAATACCGCTCTCCTGCAACGTTTCTCTCTGAAAGAGATTAATCGAATAAGTTTAAATTTAGAAAATACAGAACGTGGAAAGTATAGAATTCACTCTAATACTGTTATATTATCTTCTCTTTTTTTTATAAATTAAAACACGGAAAGGATAGATTTGTTGAAATATCTAAAAATTTAGTTAGATTTGAAAATAATTTTATTGAAATAAATTTTATTTTATTGGAATTTTATTATCAAAATAATTATAGGACGCTCAAGCTGGTTGCTAGAATATCAAAACTTTCTGCAACATTGCTATCATGCTTGCCATTTCTACATAATTACTTTATGGTACAACAAAGTTATTTTCAGATCTGTATATAATTAAATTTTTAGATGCTTCAGCAAAATCGTTTTTTCCATGAAGCTGTTGATCGTAGATAAAATCAATTATATGCTTATATGCTAATTATTACATGGTTTTCTCAAATTACTTGCAAATTGCCAAAGTCCTTCTGCAGATTCTTATCGATATTGGTGTTGACCTCGACATCGACGACCGGTGTGGTTCGATCGCGCTTACTCTTTATATAGTTTTTTGTATACCGCCTGAGCATCGCGATCTCCAATTGCTGATTTCTGATAACATTGTCCTTTTCGCAGAGCATCTGCCTGATAGACTTCTGCTCCTGCTTGAGGCGCGCCTCCAGGAACAGCAGTGCCCGCAGTATCCTCGAGAGCTGCTGATCTCGCAAAATCTTCTCAGACTCATGACTGGCGGTACGGTGGTCCAGCTCCTTCACCAGCTCTCGGCATTTTTTCGTGGCGGTCTTCAGGGCGTCCTGAGTTCGCGCCAATTCCTGCTTGAGCGTCCGGACCTCGGTTTCCATCTGCAAAAAACAATTTCAACAAATAAATCTCCAGTTCTCAATGAAATATTTCACGATGCCCGAGAAATATTTTTCCGCATGTTAAAAATTATTGTTGCAAGATCGAATTTTAATGACAATCCGATCAACTTGAAATCGATCTTTTCTTCACAAAAATATTAGATCACGAATAGAGCACTTATATTTTACAGGCATAGATTAAATATTAAGGAATTAAATTTTTATCCGATTAATAGGATAACAGATTCTTTTATAAAGTCTTTATATATTCTTCCTATCATCTAAATTCCTACATCCTCTCAAGATAAACGACTCGCGTCGCGCACAATGTGGATCGTGACGAGATATAGATATTCATCGTGCATGCGAAGTACGACGTATAGATCGAAGAATGAATACCGCCAACGTCTGAACAAAATCGAGGAACAATGCCGGCCGGTCTTCGGCCTTACTTCGCACGCGCGAAAGAAGGAGAGTTTCGACCGAGCTGAACTGACTCGAGAAAAAGAGACGTCCACGTTTACTCGTCCAGATGCAGGGGGGTTCGAGACCGGACCGGCTCTAGGACCGGAAGGACCTGACCCAGCCACCGGAGAACCGGTAAGTTACGGCCCGGTACGACGCGATAGAATGATCGGCGACGGCGATTCATTGTTAGGTAAACAATTTCCAACTTGACGCATTGACTGATCAAGGATAAGAGGAGCATTTGCATTTTGGGTCATACACAATGACGTGCAGCGAGTCCCATTATTACCACAACGTCAGTTAATGAGATTCTTTTACGAGCTTGGCAATGATTTGAATGATGATTCAATCGAAGGGCAG